CAGTCTGCTCCTGAACAACTACATGCTACCACTTAGCCAAGGCTTGTGGTAGCTCTGTCATCTATCCCTGTACATGTAACATTATGTACCATTTATCACATCTTATCCAGAAATTCAAGAGCTAATCCAGGTGTTGAATCAGTACAAATCTCAGAGACCTTAAATGAAAGACTTGTAAACAGTATTGTGTATTTACACAGCAATGCACATATTCTCATACCCAGACAAGGTTTTATTTTGTACTGGCCCTACTTTCACATTGTAACCATACTACAGCCCATTTTGTAGAGGTTTTAGTTTGCAAAGGAAATAGTTCCTACCAATGTTCCATTAGCACTAAGTGATATAGAAAACATGATGAGTTTTTAAACATGGTGAGAGGACAGTGTTAAACACTCAACTTCTAATGTGTTTGTGTACAGCAGCCTTTCCAGAAAATGCATTCCTGAGCTCTAGATACCACCCCCAAACTAGTGGGTTTCTCCTAAAGAGTCTCTCTTTCTCTAGTTCTACTTATCAAACAAAAAAACTTGAGTAGGGAATTTAGACAATTGCTAACAAAATGCCTCCTATACGCCCTAATCCTTATATGCCTCTCCAGGATACCAGAATCATCTTGCAGGGATCCCAGTGCAGCATCAAAACATCAAGGCTACGTCTAGACTGCAAGCCTCTTTCGAAAGAGGCTTTTATGAAAGATACTTTCGAAAAAGCTTCTTTTGAAAAAGAGCATCTAGACTGCAACTTCTTCTTTCGAAAAAGTGAGCTGCTTTTTCGAAAGAGAGCACCCGAGCAGTCTGCATGCTCTCTTTCGAAAAAGCCCTTCGCATTCAAGAACGCCTTTTTTCGAAAGAGCACTTTCGAAAAAAGGCATTCTTCCTCGTGAAATGAGGAGTACCGCCGTCGAAAGAAAAGCCGCGTTCTTTTGATTTAATTTAGAAAGAACACGGCTGTAGTCTAGACGCAGGTGAAGTTTTTTCAAAAAAAAGGCTACTTTTTTCGAAAAAACCCCGCAGTCCAGACACAGCCCAAGGTGTAGCAGGCAGAAGTGCTTTCCAAATATAGTAAGTTAAACTACCTTGAAAGACTGTTTTCATACAAGTAAGACTGACTAGAAAGACTGTCCCTATCTTGTGGTGATGTAGAGTGACATTTAGCTAGGCTAGCACTTTTCAATGACATTCCCAAATACAAGACTTTAAACGCCCTGGAAGGGAGGATTTCACTAACTAAGCTAAACATAATATTTGTGAGAGAAGTATTTTAGCTGCATTCTGAAAGTGGTGCCACTAAATACCGGTAAATGTTGTACAACAGATGTTACTGTTTTTTCCAACCTTGACCACATAAGAACAGCCATGTTGGTCAGACTAAAGGTACAGCGAGCTCAATATCCTATAATCTGATACTGGCTAGGGATGTGAAGGACTAGTCGACTATCCGCTACGCAAATGCTTATCAGATAGTCGACTAGTCGCTTCCCTGCCCCTTGCTGCTTCTATCAGATAGAGGCAGCAAAGGGGTGGGGGAAAGAGAGAAGACATTGGTACTTCAAAGCAGCAGCACCGCACAGAGCTTGGGGTCAGCAGCTCTTCACAGCATTTCAAAGTGGCAGCGCCCTGTGGAGCCCGGGACCAGTTGGGGACTCCCCAGCCGACACCGGGCTCCGTACAGTGCTGCTGCTTTGAAATGCCACAGGAATCCCAGCGTCGGGCTCTTCGCAGCATTTCTAAGTGGCAATGCCACTTGGATCCTGGGATCAGCTGGGGACTCCCCCTCGCTGACTGTGGGCTCCGTGCGGCGCTGCCGCTTTGAAAAGCATTTCAAAGCCCAAGTGACTCACAGAACCCTGGGTTAGCAGGGGAGTCCCCAGCTCACCCCAGGCTTTGGCGCTTTCACCTCTGAAGTGTAGCAACAACCCTAAAGCTGTTGCTACACTTCAAAGGCGAAGACACCCTACTGACTAATCAAATAGTCCATGCAAAAATGCATCGACTATTCGATTACTCAGCTACCCGATACTTAACATCCTTAATACTGGCCAATGTCAGGTGCTTCAGAACCAGGAACGGAATCACTGAATGATTACATTTCCGGTCACCCATTCTCAACGTCTGGCAAATGGAGGCTAGGGACACCATCCCTGTACATCCTGGTTAATAGTCATGTATGGTTCTATCTACCATTTTTCTCCCCAAAAGAAAATAACTCATTCTAGGAGCTCTCACCCTAATGATTCACTCATAATTGGAGTCTAACAATATGGAAGATATGCTGCAGTCGTAAAGTTAGAATCAGATCTGAACTTCCTGACACTAGGAGCATTTGAATCTGATTTCTATTCAGTCCCATCTCTCATTACCGTTACTTAGTGTTTGTACACTGCAGAGTCCTCTGGGTGCTACTATAACACAAACGCAGAGTGAGGAACCCTACAGCCCAAAGGAAAGGCAGCTAAAATGCTTTAAGCAATCTTTGTGCCCTTCCAGTGCTGGGCTAGAGAGATCCCCACCATAAATGCTACAATCTTGGAGACCTATTTAAATTACAACAACCCTCAGAGGATGTACCTCCTCCTATCTCCAGTATGCCCCTACAATGGGGCTTGAATTGGCATCCTGAGAAAGCAATATTAGGACTGTCTTATACCACTCAGAAGAAGATAGGGCTTTTAAGAATCCTTTAGGTTGAGCCTGGCATAATGACAACAGAAGTGAGGATCTCAACCAGAATATCCCTCCAATGTTGCCAAATCTCATGCTCTTATTAAAGCGATGGGGAACCTAGGCTGGTGAGTGGGCCACATGAGTGGCTCTCCATCTCAGTGGGCCGCAAGATTGTCATAACTAAGATGGTCTCCCAGAATAGGATCGTTTTGCTAAATGTGCTTTGCATAAGTGGAATTTTCAGGGTGTGCCAACTGAACCGTAGCAGCGTTATGACTGGACAAAGAGGGAGTTCACAGCTTTCACAGTTAATGTTATATCCAGTCAGCATGCAGCTCACTTCATGTGCCCCTGCATTAGGTGTGTCACTTTAAGAAATACTGGTAAGTAAAAATACTACGCAGATGGAAACCAGCAGAATCTGACAACCCTGTACATGGGCAATGGTAAATAAAATGTCTCACAAGCCATTCATAAAACCCTGCTGGGCCACATGTGGCCCACAGACCACAGGTTACAATACTAGCAATAAGACAGTGGTGGGTAACATCTGGTATCTCATCAAAGTGCCAGTTGTAGGCAACAGGTTATCACCTAAGAATCTCAGATTTCCTTAAAAAGAAAAAGTAAACATCCAGACTTCCTGGCTGCTGAGAAAAGTTTGAACCCCTAAACTTCCCAACACCAGAAAGCAAATAAAAAGAACCCCACATTTTTTAATCTTATGATTTTTTTAATTCTTGGACTTGACAATGTTTTCTACGCTAATGCCCTACTGCCTTGCAATCTAGTTTTGATAAGACACAACCAGTTTAAAGAGGGATAAGAACAACCAGAACTGGGATTATATAAAGGAAATTATGGCAGAATGATTCATTTACATGACTAGTTATGTGTTCAGATCATTTTGAATCAATTATACTTTTAGGAGCAATTTTACAGTAAAGCTATATTACATCTTAACTGCGGGAGTTGTTGGTTCAAGGTGCCTCACTGCAATTGACAAACTGGGACTATCATCATCTGAAGCACATTTATGCTTTTTGCTGGAAGGATCAGGATAATCAGAGATAATCCAACATCCTGCTCTACAATGCACAGTCAGAGATTCTTTTTCCCCCAGCACAAAGCTTTATTTAATGTTAGTTTAACATTAACCACATGCCTGACAGTTGGGATCTTTCCACTGACACAAAAGGGAACTGGATCAAACCCCACATGTAAAAACGAGTTGATATAGAAAGATCTTCTAAACTGAATCAGAAGCAGTTTCATGTAACTTTCAGGGAAATACTCTAACTGAATTATGCTGTCTGGGCCTTATGCAGCAATCAACAAATAATCAGCAAATGTAATCTTCCTCAGCAAAAAATTTAGCCTGGAATCAACCTTAAATCTGTATTCCTGGCTTCTGTAACAACCTTCTCTGTATATAAAACTCTGAACCCAATTCTGATCACAAAATACTGGTTCGAATTGAGTTTTATACCACGATGACTGAGATCAGACACTGGCCCTTAGTTCTTCAGGGCATAAAGATCAGGAATGTTAAATTAGATAAGGAGGAGAAGAGAAAAGGGAAAGGAAGTCCAAAAAATGTACCTAACTTAAAAATATGTAAAATAAATATACTGCCTTGTAAAACTGTAGCTACAGATGCAGACAGTTTAAATGGACTCACTGTATTAATTTCCTCACTACTGAAAGATGGTTTCACCATGGAGTTTTATATACAGCACAAACAGGCTGGCCCTACAGCTGTTTGTGCAGCATACTGGAAAACGTGTTTTCCATGGACTAAGCCACCTTGAACCACTTTATTTCTAAAACTCCAAAGGATTTGTTATATCAGGGTTTTCAAAACATTTTTTGCCAGAAGTGTTAATGGTTGTCATTAAAGCTGCCAAATCTCACTCTGCACACAGAGACTCTCACTGGAGTTTATAGAATCTGACACAAGAATGTTAAAGAAAACAGAGCACATATATGGAGAGTGACAGCTGATTATTTATTTTTACATATTTTTCAAAGTATCAATAAATCCATGTGAAACTTCATGGCTTGAGATGTTGTAAGAGCAGCAGAGAGCATGAATTATAATTTAGTTTCATTCACTTACAACACACAAACACACACAAAGAAATGCGTGCAGAATATATTCACAAAATGAACTTTCAATGATCAAAAGTACATCCATATCCAGCAAAGCCCTAGATAGGCGCTATTAAAAATAAAATTACAAAAGTGATACCCAACTCATCAAACATCCACAACTATTTC